CAGTATAAACTGTTGAATTAATAGTCCTTCAACTATAGTTTGCATAAGTTTCAGTTTATGATCAACTTCTATTTCTGTTCGATCTGCTTACTATTCAATTGACATTTGGATGCAAGAGAATTCTCCCTGGAAGAAGTAATTCCAGAAATTTATGGGAGAGGCCATATAGGTTTTTATCATGCCTTAAGATTTGCAGGTTATTTGAGATAATTTTCATCTGGTACACTAACAACACAGTCAAATTCATCATGTGGTGATCCCCAATATTTAACTTCCATCTGTATTTGAAATACTATACCGCTGTTATTTCTTCTTATAAAAATGGCAGAATTTTGGACCTACTTCATCAAATCAAATAATTTAGTAGGAATTCTAAATGCGGTTCGGTTACTCATTTGTTCTGTCTTTCATCTTCAATGTTGTTGATTCCTCAGGTTTTCCCCATCAGACATCTTCAGGTTTTCACTGAAGATGAATTAGAGAGACTATTGTGCGGAGAGTGTGGATTCTGGAACGTAAGTTGTGTTTTCTGAGCTGCTGATGGGTATTACTTAAAGATTGATCTCCTGTTTTTTTTCTAAAAGAAAACGATTGTTGTTGTTTTGGGCAGTCCAATGAGCTTCTGGATCACATCAAGTTTGACCATGGGTACACTGCCAACAGTCCTCCAGTTTTAAATGTTCGTACAGTCCTATCTTCTTAGATTTTTATTCGTTAATGGAACCAATTGCTAACTAATGACAATTGACTTCCTGCAAATCTGTAGTTACTTGAAATTATGAAGGAATTTGACAGCAAGCAACAGAGAGCATTCCTGCAGTTTGTCACTGGTGCACCTAGACTGCCTCCAGGGGGTCTGGCATCTCTTAGCCCAAAGTTAACAATCGTTCGGAAGGTACTTCCAGTAGATTTCCTGAGTGCTTGAATAGTCAAAACAAAAAGATGTTCGCATCATAATGTTACTTCCTGCTCTAATGTCTAGCTATTATGGTTTGTCGCAGAGTTGCAGTGTTTGGGTCGACGCTGACCTACCTAGTGTGATGACATGTGCAAATTATCTCAAGCTACCACCATACTCTTCAAAAGTCAGTTCCTTTCTCTTTCACTCCCTTGTGTGAGATATCTTCTCTTTATTATTCGACAAAAGAAATAACTCCTTTTTTCCGTTAAATTTCGCAGGAGAAAATGAAGGAAAAGCTGTTATATGCCATAACGGAAGGACAAGGCTCATTCCATCTTTCATAGGTTCCCTGGCTTGATCAATCAGGTACACATAGCTTGTGAATAGTAATAGTTCAGAGTAGGTGGTGGCTTAGAAGATCGTTGCAGCGGGTGGTTTCGTGGCGTTGAAGTAGAGCTGGTTACTGCTGCTGGCCTGACTTAAACTTGGTGGTTGTGCAAACAATGGTTTGTTAGTTATTAGTATAAAAATTATAAGTAGAGATAGTCCAGTTCTTGAAGGAGAATTATACAGTGAAAAGTACTTTTGGGGTAAGGGGGTTAAAGTTTGGTTTATTTAGTTGTTGGTAAACTATGTACAGTAAACAATTATGGACACATATATTTCTATCAAGGTCAGTTTGAATCATATATCAAGAGTCTCTTTCAACCTCTTAAACTTAGTTTACTTAGCTTGCTACAATTAATTCACTTATCTTATTTTCCTTTTTAGTTTATTTTTTTTTAAAAAAAAAAATCACTTTTCACATTTATATGTAATACTCTCATTTACTCAAATCTCTTAAATAGTCCAAAAAGTTCATATTGAAAGTATTATTCACCCACACACCAAAAAGAACAAAGAAAAAAGAAGAAAATTATAAACACCCCTAAAATTTTAGCAAAAAAAAAAAATTAGGCCATCTTAATAATCCAAAAAATGTCTTAAAAGTAGATGGCACCTTCCATCCACACTCTAAAAAGAACAAAAAGATATGAAAACATCCCATTCTTCTAGATATTTCTTTTCATAAAAGAAAAAAAAACATAATATATAAACAACAATCAAATTAGATTTAAATCGACAAATAAATACTTTATAAGTGTGAACATGTATATTTAAACACCTCAACATAATCTCTCAAGTGACAATCAAACACTTAACCCATCTTCACTATGTCTCGTAGATATCTGATGAGTATTAACTTGACACAATAATTTTTGAATGTATCTGAATGATTATTTTATAAATTGAAGTGTTCAACTATCGTACAAGAAACAAGAAGAAGTGTCTAGATATTCATACTCAAACGTATTGTGTCTATCCTCGCCCCAACCCAAAAGATGAAATAAAAAAGAATAGTATAAATAAATACAAGAGGCACCAACTAAATTTCAAAGACAATTAAATCCTTCAATTCATCTTTACTATATCTCGTGAACATTTCATACTAATTTAACGTCAAAATGTGTGTAAGATGATAATTTTATAAGACAATGATTAAAATGTTATCATACTCTCGATTGCGTTGTGTCCACCCCCACCCCACCCAACCCAAAGAAAAGTGAAAGTACAAGAACCACCAACTAAACCCCATTACGTAGTTCATCCCTACTCCACCCAAAACCCCTGAACACACCTTATCACCATTTCCTCAATTTGAAACTACTTCTCCCTCCCCTTTCTCTTCTTCCCCAAATGTTCAAGAATTCATGACAACTCTACTACCCCCCACCCCCCCTTCACCCCCTTCCTCAACTTCACCATTCCCCTTCACCCAAAATCTCATCTTTAACTCCTCTTCTTCTTCAACCCTCACTTGTAAAGCTACCAATAGCTCATTTCAACCTCACCCCACTTCCAATTCCTCCAACCCCACTTCCTTAATCACTTCCAAGAACCCATTTTCAGCTTCCCCTGACAATACCCTTTTGACCCTTTTGCAGCAGAGAAAGACTGATGAAGCTTGGTTGCACTACACCAAGAATCTTGATCAACAACTCCCAAACCCCACTTGTCTTAGTCGTTTAGTTTCTCAATTATCTTACCAAAACTCCACTATCAGCCTCCGTCGTGCTCAGTCAATCATCCAACGCCTCCGCCATGAACGGCAGCTTCACCGCCTCGACGCGAATTCACTTGGACTTCTTGCTAGTGCTGCAGCTAAAGGTGGACATGTTCTTTATGCTGCTTCTATTATTAAGTCAATGTTGAAATCTGGTTATTTACCTCATGTTAAAGCTTGGAGTTCTGTTGTTAGTCGTCTTGCGTCCTCTGGTGATGATGGTCCAATTGAAAGTTTGGGTCTTTTTTGTGCTGTTACTAAAAGGATTCGTAGGTTGTCTAATCTTGATTTGGTTAAGCATTCGCGGCCTGATACAGCCGCGTATAATGCTGTGTTGAATGCTTGTGCTAATCTTGGTGATAAAAATAGGTTCTTGGAGTTGTTTAGTGAAATGAGTGAGTTTGATTGTGAGCCTGATGTTTTGACTTATAATGTGATGATTAAGCTTTGTGCAAGAGGTGATAGGAAGGATTTGCTTGTTTTCGTATTGGAAAGGATACTCGAGAAGGGAATTCCGTTATGTATGTCAACATTTCAGTCTCTTGTTGCTGCTTATGTTGGTTTTGGTGATTTGGTTACTGCGGAAAAAGTTGTTCAGGCTATGAGGGAAGGGAGGAGGGATTTGTGTAAGATGCTAAGAGAGGGTAATGTGGAAGAGGTGTGTTTGAATGATGGTGATGTGTTTGAGAAGTTGCTTCCGAATTCTGTTAATTGGAGAGATAATGAGCCACCGGAGTTGTCTAGAGTGTTTGAACCGAATTCTAGGATGTATACGACTTTAATGAAAGGTTATATGAATGCTGGTCGTGTTACAGATATGGTGAGGATGTTAGAGGCAATGAGACATCTAGGAGATAGTGAGAGCCATCCAGACCATGTCACTTACACGACAGTTATTTCTGCGTTTGTGAAGCAAGGTTTAATGGATAGGGCACGAGAGGTGCTGGCCGAGATGGTCAGGATTGGTGTCCCTGCTAATAGAGTAACTTACAATGTTTTGATCAAAGGATATTGTCAACAGCTGCATATTGACAGGGCAGAAGAGCTGATTAAAGAGATGATTGATACTGGAATAGAGCCTGATGTGGTTTCTTATAACACAATCATTGATGGATGTATATTGGTAGATGACAGTGCAGGAGCTCTTTCCTACTTCAACGATATGAGAGCGAGAGGTATTGCTCCAACCAAAGTAAGTTACACCACTTTGATGAAAGCTTTTGCCTCATCTGGTCAGGCTAAGCTAGCTAACAAGGTGTTTGACGAGATGCTTAAAGACCCTCGAGTGAAGGTTGATTTGGTTGCTTGGAATATGCTGTTAGATGCATACTCTAAGCTAGGAAAGGTTGAGGAAGCAAAGAGTGTGATCGAGAGGATGAAAGAAAACGGATTCTACCCAAACGTAGCCACTTATGGCAGTCTTGCAAATGGAATAGCTTTGGCTAGGAAGCCGGGAGAAGCACTCTTGCTTTGGAATGAGATAAAACAGAGGTGTGGAATGGGAAATGGAGAGGAGTCTACTCCGTCTTCAGGCCTCCTCCCGCCATTGGAACCTGATGAAGGACTGTTGGATACATTAGCAGACATATGTGTCCGAGCAGCTTTCTTTAGGAAAGCGTTGGAGATCGTTGCTTGCATGGAGCAACACGGGATACCACCAAATAAGACCAAGTTTACTAGGATCTACGTCGAGATGCATTCAAGGATGTTTACTAGTAAGCACGCGTCAAGAGCTAGACAGGACAGGAGAAAGGAACGAAAACGAGCAGCTGAAGCATTCAAGTTCTGGTTGGGATTGCCCAACTCCTATTATGGAAGTGAATGGCGCCTTGATTCAGTAATTGACGATGAATACAAATCTGAGTAATTGAAGATGAAAACACAGATATTATACTTGAATATATATGTAGATTTGAAAGTTTGCTGTGTTATACACAGTTGAAATATAATCTGATACAGCTTTCTACTGGATTCTGTAAGTGTCTCTTCTATCCATGATGGTCAATAGCAATTATATTTAGTGTGTTTTACCAAAGTTCATAAGGTGTATACATCAATTAATGAGTTACATAATGCTGTACTTGTACTTTCTAGCTCTTTCTTTAGAGCATGGTAAAAGAACCACCTGGGCTTATACTCAATATTTGCTCTCAATATACATGTATTGATTTCTTCAGGATAGCCTAAAATGTCACGTAGTTAAAACTATTTACATGAAAGGAACATATTAGAAGCCAAAACGGCACTTCTTCTCGAAAATAAACAGAATGATACATGATTTAGTTGTGGCCTTAGTGTTGCTCGACTATCCTCTTGACCTTGATGTTTGTGAATAAGATGAAGATAGAACCTGCATGGAAATGATTCAAGATTAGGAAAACCCAAAATTTGACAGAAAAAGAGTTGTATTTTCACATTAGTAATGTCGAGAGAATTGAGTTCCAGTGATTAGATGGAGGATGACGATATAAAGGTATATTAAGTATGGCTGTATAAACTTCATTCTCAGTGCAATTTGGTTATCTATAAATATGAAGGCCAGATATCACAGTACCTGATATGTTTTGGGACCCTTCTTTAGTAAATAACCAACACTATTAAGATTATCCACGAATGTATCGATATCTGGAACCATTAATGCAATCCGATCAGCCAGACTATATATTTCCTGAAAAATAGATACTGTTAATAGGGATTTTTCTCGTTCATGCATTTGTACTTTTGCCATAAGATATACAATGATGAGAAAGATGGCTTACAGAAATTGAAAAGCAATCCTTTTGCTGCAATTCTGATTGCTTATGCAAGGCACTCAAAAACCGTTTTGCTTCTTTCTGCTGACTCATTCCCCCACTTCGTCCAAAATCCACAAATCCATGTTCGTCAACATACTTATCGTATAATGATTCTTTCATTATTTCCACAACATCCTGAGAATAGAGAATACATGATTAGAGGGTATTGTACTAGAGAAATTCGATGATAAAGATTATAGCAGGTCTTGATGATTTTGGGAAGATTGTTAGTGAAACAATTTACCAGAGCATCTTGCTCAGTTATCTCTTCTCTTAGATCTACTCTAGCTCGAGCTCCTGCTAACCTTACCAAGCTCTCTAATTGCCTTGCTGTTATTGGTGTACCATCACCGGACGTATTATGATCCCTCAACTTCAAGTAAAACTTCTGCAAGATTTCTGCTGCTGGTTTTGTCATCCTTGCACCAAATGACAAGAAGATAAATGAACGTTTCAAAGAGTAGCTAAAACTTTCAAACATAAAAGGAAGCGCATTTGACAACCTAGGAAATATATAAGTTCTTGCATAAGCAATGTATTTACGCAGAAGAGGGGCAGGCAATGGAACAAAACCACCGTCTTTCTTAGGGTCAAGTCTCAGCCTTGCAACTAAAGAACCCTGCTTTGTATTCATGTCAATTTCTCCAACATCCAGCGAGGCTGCAAAGAAAAATTAAGAGCAATTTGTATAAAAATATTTCCCGCTGAGATAATGGTTGGCAAAAGGCAAACCTGTACATAACCGTTTTGCGACTGGTGGCTGCTCTACACTCTTTGCATGAAGCTGACAAGGAAAAGCTTTAAATCATGCAATTTTTCACATGAATAAACTCTAAATGATAACCATATAATGGCATCAACTGATAAATTTCAATCCAAGTTGTATTGCATGTTAATATGCATGAAAGAAAAAGGACCTTTTCCTTGAAGAAGCTAAAGAAAATGATGCTAAAAGTAGCAGGGGAAGTGACAGGATTGTTTTTGTTCGTCAATGATCACCGAATCTTGTTCTTTTTTTTTTCAATGATTCACCTAGTCTTACCAAAAATAACTCAAGGATAGCATCAACTAGCTATTTCCATTGAACGAGTGAATTTTGATAGTGTTTTCATACTGGTCAAGCAGAAAATGTTAAAGAAATTGATTACTTAAATCTGATGGGGTCAAAAAAGAATTATTCACTGCAACAAGAATTGTCTCCATATAGCAAACAAGGATTTGAGGAGCGATGTTGACAGTTGGATATTTCTTACCAAGTTGATCAATTTTCCAACTTAAACGAACATTTGCAGAAAGGAGTGAGGACACTTACTGACATAATATGCTCAGAGAGTCGCTTGTCCAGAACCTCATCAGGTTTATCAAGTAATATGAACACCAAATCAAAACGTGAAAGCAAAGCACCATTCATCTTCAAGTTCTCATTCACAGTTTTTGCACGGCTGCAAGAATTTTTTCACACATTACCACCACAGAGTAATATATATAGCTTTTAAAAGACCAATATGTAATGCAAGTATTCCCATGATCTAAGTTTACATAATTATATGAGATAGATTCTTCTCCTTTCTTCTTTCTCCTCTTTTAAGTTTCTATCTTCTTTCTTCTCTTTCTTCTGTGAGTTTCACATCTAACCACCAGTCTATCCTACAGCTCCTTAAGCCCTGAAGTGAGACTAAAAACGTGTTGAGCACTTACCTTGCTTAATGAGTACTTTAGGGTCGTCATAAAGGTTCTAAGGCATGTCCTCTTCTGAAGAGGCAACACTAAACAATTGATACTTTATCGTAAAAAAAATCAATTTCTTTGTTCATCTATTTGTCATTCGTGCCTATAATTATTAGTTTTGAACTAAACATATATTTGTATAGTTTTTGCGCTTAAAGCCCCAGCGGACCTTAAAGCTTTTCTGTGCCTTTTGCTTTTGATAACACTGCCAGAGATGTTACTGAGCAATTACAAATGTTAAAACACAAGTGTTCGTGTTTAGCTCTCTAGTGTAACCTAAGAAATGTATACAAGGAGGATAGCATGACTTGTTGCATGAGGGGATACACCCTCTCCTGTAATGTTCAGCATTGTCTAGTGCTTGGCTGCTTTCTTTGCTTACATAACCAAAAAAGTGGATCTAAAGGCATCAATTATCACTCAACCAATCATCCATAACATTCAAATAAAAAATATGCAAGTTTTTCATAATACTTGTAGTGGCCACCAACAGGGTTTGCTGCTGCTAAAACAGATGTTCGCGCTGACAAACTTGCAACAAGTCCTGCCTTTGCAACAGAGACGCACTGTTGTTCCATAGCCTCCAATAGGGCCTAAAGTATGGAAAAATTAATTATGTCCTGATCCTAAGTGTGAAGTACCAGTTGACAGTATAAATCCGTTTAACTAAAAAGACCTGATGTTCAGCAGACATTTTGTCAAACTCGTCAATGCAACATAATCCACTATCTGCAAGAACCATAGCACCTAACCATGCCAAAAAGCAACAAAAACAGTATATTTTAGCATTTAGGGACCAAGATGATCACTATAACCAATAACTGAAGCAGTAATTTCTCTTAAAACAAATTTCTAAATAGCATAGCTAGACAAATTTACAGGTAATTCCTGATTTTCCTCAACCCAGAAGGTGAGAAAGGACACTATCAACCATACAAAGTAGTAACCAATATAACAGCACCTGCTTGATTACAAGGAACTATACTAAGTTCAACTTCTTTTTACTAGACACACCCTTCCTCAGGATATAAATAAATAAGGATTCTCATAAAACAGTGATACCACAAACATTCATTTTAGTTACCCTATGTTTCTCTTTAAAATACATTGCATTGAATATAACCTTCTGCAAAAAGATACATTGATTGGTGGATTTCCAAAATCATAGTATTCCCGCACTAAAAAAAAGGAGAACATTACCTGCTTCAAACGCATAGTCACTGGTCAAAGGATCCTTGACAACAGCAACAGTAAGGCCAGCATTAGTTGTTGCATTACCACAAATATATATGCCACGGGGAGAAATGGAAGCTGCCGCTTGAAGTAGTTGACTTTTACCCAATCCAGGATCACCTAATAACATAGAAACCAGCTCTAATCAAGTTAGCTTGTACAATTATGTGATGTATTCAGATAAACGGATACACTTGACTTCTTAATAGATATTTTAGCTTCAGAAAAATGCTAACTTATAAGCTAAACCGCTTTCCCGAATTTATTTCCAGCAGGACCAAAAGAAGACAAGGTAGATAGCCACATACCGACAATTATTATGTGGATATCTCCTCTCACAGGAACCTTATTCTGATCCATGGAATGCTTCCGTACACCACCAAATAAAGCTAATGTAATTCCCGCTACACAAAGAAGAGGAACAAAGAAAAAGAGGAAAGAGGATCAAGTTATCTATGTACCTGTAGCATGACCACTTCAAACAGCTCATGCAAACAAGACAAATTCTGCCAAACACAATGTAAACATGACAAAGGAAGAAATGTGATAGTGCTTCAATTGTATGTGTGTCTTTTTTCCATGAATCACATACCAATAATTAACATATGAAAAAATGTGGCAAGAGTTTCAAGATACATAAACAACCAAGGAAAACACTTAAGAAGTAGGAAAGGAAAAAAAAAGATGACAAGAAGTAAACAAAGAAAGTAAAAGGTACAAAAATCAGGTATCTTTGCATGCCTAATTAGAGAGTAATTCTGAAGAAGGGAAAGACCCTCAGATATGAATCACTCCATTATATTGACAATTTGAGTTGATCGTAGTATGATGACAGTGGGCCAAGCAGGGCCATTTTATCTACTGGTTTAGGACATACCAAAAAGACCCCAAATGACATGGTACAACCCTTTTTTTAATGAAGTGATTGTGTTAAAAGGCATCAAGAAGATACAGGTACACTGTGAATCTAGTTGATATCTATTTTACAGTAGAGGCATATATCACCAAATGAAATGGTATTCAAACTGGAAGGCATTAATACTGTGTCCACATTCAAACAGCCTTAACCCGGAGGCTTACTCTATGAAAAGCCAAACATATAACAAAAGGATTGGATACAAAGACCTCAAATCATCTTCTAAGACTCTCCATTTGATATATGTCCTAAAGCAAGCACGTCAGCTCTTGTTCATCACCATGCAGCAGGGTACACATCAAAAATTTAAGGAATGATAGCTTACTGAAAAATAATGATAAAACTCATCCCAATGATTATTTATACCTTTAACAAGCTCATGACCGTAGATCGAGGGGCAAACAGATTGAAGTATTTGTCGAAAGACATCAGAACCGTGTTCTTCAGAAAACTTAACAATAAACTCCAAATCCTTTGGAGAGAATGAGTATAAATCAAGTAGGTCTGTAGCTCGAGCATTAGGGTTATCTTGTGAACCCTCAGGCATTGACTGAGACTTCGAGTTTGTAATAGAAACTACTTCTAGGTACAAATAATAAAGTCCTTGATTCTTGCCTTTCGACTTTCCTGCATTTACCAAGGTTCGCATACAGTTAACATCTGACATATATAACCAAAATTGAAGTATATGGCAGCAAATCAAATGCATAAATTTTTTCCAATCTGCAACATTATCAATGTCACTGGCCTATATTTTTCCCGAGTGCAACAGAAAGATTGGTATAATGACTTTTCTCTCCCAGAAATCAATTCAGGCAAAGGCTATACAGCTGTGATTTCTGACTCAAAGTAGGGTATCAAAACATAACTAATTTAAATATCATTTATTACAAGGCACTCCATCAATATATCAGTTTGAATGAAAGAAAGTTCCATTGTGTTATATGTAACCAGATCATGGAGGACTCATAAGTTGATCTACTTAATATGCGTTCTTAATGGACAAGTATATTATGACATTAAACCTTCTTTTCCTAAATAATAGCTCATCTAACAAGAAGGATAGCTGGAGACTCTGTATGGTCACTGGATCAACATTAGCTTAAACGTTTAGATGTCATCCATCCAAGACTTGAAGGCTGAAGCAAACACAGAGAAGAAGCATTCATACTTAATGCATTATAAGAAATTTCAGACAATGCATTATCTTTTGTTGCTCACCGTCTGTGCAAAAAGCATTGGCACTTAATAACATAGATCCAAAATAAAAGACAAGAACAAATAAGTAGATACTTCCTTTAGACTTGACTCAAGACTGCTATGTTTAAAGACTTCAAGCAATAGTAAGAATAAGCTACAAGATTCACTGTTGTTGATGATATTACAATTCTACATCAGCTTTAAGGCCTTTAAATGAATATGATGCTTATTTCATATCAGTCAGGAGCTTTCGTCTGAAGAACGTGACTCAAAATTTTATATTTTTAAATGAAATTAAGGACCCATGCATGAAAAACAACGGTCAGCACACTTTATCAACTTTCTCTTAAATTTCTCCCTTACATATTTAATTTGAACAGGGAACCATATGTTACAGTCCGATAAAAGAAGGCTATATTTGGTGTTCACATATATCATCTAATTTAATGGAGAAAATCCGGCGTAACGCATTTTTTGCTGCGCTAAGACAGAAACAACTTACATTTATGGCTCTTAAACGAAGTCTGCTTTCATTTCTCACGATCTATATCAGGGACGTACTCGCTTCTCTCTACATATACACACACGCGCACGACATATATAGCATATATATGTATCCTCATCTCGAGCAAGAGATGGAATGGAAGGAAAAAATTAGGAGGGTCAAAAATTTTGCTCGTAAGATGCTGAGATCTACATTCGTAAGTATGAAACTGTTGTTAGAGAAAAACAATTCAGATTATTTGTCCAAAATATTAATAAGCTCACAAGTAACAGGATAAGTAACTTAAATTGTTTTTTATAGGTGGAGGAAAGATATTCATGCTATCCAAACACATCTATGTCGCATTCTCTATATAATCATTTACCTCCTCCAATATCCATGTAATTGTTAATCACCCTAATAATACCAGTGACAGTCACAATATCCCCAGGGATGCATGCATCCACAAGATCTTCAGTTAGTTCACATTCAACAGTTCGAGGTACCCGTCCCTCTTCATGATGTTCAGATTTCAGCAGCTCCTGAATTCTAGGAGAACATAGATAACTTACAAGATAAGAAATGAACAGTAAAAAACAGAGAGTTGAGAAGAAGAATAGAATAATAATATTTAGTAACATATTTTACCCAAAAAGTATGATATAAAAAGATGTTGAAGTACAGTCTACAGACATCAAAGGAAGAGGAATTTACCTTATTTTCTGAAAGTCTATAATTCGAGCTGTAGACCTTATGGGATTAAAAGTCCTACATTTACAACCATGCAATTCACATACTGGTGGAGGTGAAAATTTTCCATCTGGAAAGTCACGAGTAATACTGGTTCCACACTTGGTACATACAAAACACATTTGCATCACCAGAGGCTTAACTGTGCTAACTTTTACCACTGTACCACGTACAGAGACAAGCCTATCTATCATGTGAAAAAAACATACTAAGAATCTAAGCAGCATTAAGCTAATTGATCGATAAAGAGCAAATGTAAAGTGGAATATCATTTTTACCTATATAAGCAGCTTTTAGGTTCTTCAATGCAATCATTGATTGAGGATAGTTGTGGAGACGTATATTTATCTTCACAAAATCATCAAAACTGTCATCCCCCAATTTCATAAAGTAAACCTGCAAGCAGCAGGGACAAAACGATACAATTAAGATAAAATAACATAAATATGTGGAAAAATTCTGTACTACCTTGTGTAATGCAGCACTCATACACAACAGAGCATCTTTAGATTTACTCTCTAAAATTGTATAAAATTCTTGGAGCTCGCAAAGTTTTCGGAATTGCTGAAAGTCCAGTGGCAATAAGAACATGCCATCAACCTCCTTCACCTGAATTAATAATTCAGTGTCATTCTTTAATCTGTAACTTACAATTCTAAAAATCATAATTTACCAGCAATTGAAACATGCTTGTACGCTAAAATATTACAATAATATCAGCAAATCAGCCATTTTCATTTACTATTAGTACTGTACTATGCCATAATTGTCAGATATAGACTCCAGTGGATAACGTTCTCAATTCGAATACTCCAGACAAGAAACATCAAACAGTGTAAGAAAACCCTCCACAAGAAGAAATAAGAGATTAGAAGTACACCAACTTTCTGAAACAGCAAAAGAGTCCTTCAGTTCACAAACTTTTTGGACTTTGAAAGTACATGACAAGCAATATGTGGCATCATCTCCTTCACCTACAAAGGTAGTTTTAGAGTACAATGGAAGGGTTCACAAGAACCAATAGTTTTTGCCTAGACCTTGTATAAGCATTAAGAAATCAACTAATATCTACATGTACTATGACTGTGAATCCAGTTATTATAGTACTTGATTTGAGATTGTTGTAGGAACCAATAAATTTAAAAAAGGCATAATGCATAAATGTGTCCTTCAACTTGGCTTCAAATCACATTTATGTCCTTCAACTTTGAATGTGCACAAATAGACACTTCAACTTATATAAAGTTAACAAATAGAGACACATGTCCTACATGTCATCCTGCATGTCATTTTTTGTCCTACGTGGTGTCCTACTTGTATTTTTCCATGTAGGACTCATGTGTTTATTATAGTTAAATTGTCTGTTTGTACATTATGAAAGTTGGAGGTCAAAGTTAAAATTTGAAGCCAAGTTTAGGGTCCAATATATGTATTATGCCTTTAAAAAAAGTGGATCCATCTCTATTCACCTTGACTTAGGACCCGCCTCTCCATAAAAATCATTCACTTTATTTGAAAACTGTTGTTTGGTGCATTTTAAATTTGGCAAACAACTTATAACCTGTTTCCAACTCAATTTTCACTTTTGAAGTTGCATTTAAGTTCAGGTATTAACATTATTCCAATATTCCTTGCAAAACGTGTAAACAAGCACAATTCCATTTTCAACTCCAACTCCAAATAAAATGAAAATTATTTGGAAATTATGGCCATTAGCATATTTAATAATTCAACATCAATCTTTGACCTTCATTTTCAGTTACTATTAGTGGTTATCCGGCAACTAAAAAAAGCTTGGAAGAAGGAATATTACATGGAAAGAATCAGTAAATCAACAATTTCCTTTGCTACTAGTATGAACTTCGCTTTTATTCACAGTAACAGATATAGACTCCAATCGTCCACGTTCACCATATGACATCTAATGCAGAAAACAGTTCACAATTGTTTGAAAGATAACAACTCAAAAACACTACACAAAAAGCAAATACTCGGTGTATGGAGTACAACAGTCAAATCATCTTATTTCATAGTAAATTCAGCCAGCCATTTCACAATTGTTTGAAACAAAACAACTCAAAACACTACACAAAAAGCAAATACTCGGTGTATGGAGTACAACAGTCAAATCATCTTATTTCCTAGTAAATTCAGCCAGCCATTTCACAATTGTTTGAAACAAAACAACTCAAAAACACACCTAAAGTATCCAGATCTTTTTTGAGTTTCATTCCTGGTGTTTGAGTTCACTATGCCAATTATAACAAACTATTCATCAAAACACATCTTAACTATCAAATGTTGCTCTTTCCTACACTGAACGTGGTGATATTTCATATAGGAAACTCACACAACTAACTTAAGATATTTTAGATCTGTTTTCAACCATAAATCACTCGACTCTCCAAAGTAAGTAATCATAACGTGTCTTAGAGATCTCACCTGAGAAACGAATTGTTCACCGGAAGGAGCAGAGAAGAAGCGAACAAGCTCAGAGGCTAATCGGAATTGAGGGTCACCGACATGGAAATCGACACCGGGGAAATAAACCGACAGTGCTTTACCGAGACCGATCGGCGTCGTCAATTTCTGTTGAATCTTCCCGTTCACCGCCATTTCTCCGGTCATGGCGTGGCGATTGGACCGTACAAAGCTCTCCGAGGGGGGAAAAAGGTTCACGATAGTTTTGGCGGGAGAAGAATATAGAAACGAAAAATGATTAAAAAAAAAGTAATAAATTATGGAGTATATATATTTACTATTATTTTTATTAATAAAATATATATTTCTTTTTAATATAATAAATAAGTAAAAGTGTACGACGAAAATGCCAACAAATAAAAAAATATATATTTGAAATTCTTTCTTTTAAAATAAATAAAAATAGAGGGTGTATCATGTATGGAATGAAATCCGAACTTTAGGACAAAGACTATTTCTTAGAATCGCTTGTTACGAAGAGGAACGACAAGCTTAACAATTGAATTAATCGAAATTTAATACGTGAAAGTGTTAGCTCGACCTGAATTGTACCTAAAATAGTGTTTTTGATCATAGCCCTAAAATATTCTCGAATAACTATTCACAATATGTCTTGAATTAGTATTGTTTCGATATTATAAGATCTACTCTATGATTATAGTATCGTTATCACATGATTCTTTTTGTGAATATAATTTATTTTCTAAATGAAATGCACTAACAACGATTCTTGATCTAACGCTAATCATTTTTAAGCCTAGCACTAAAGCTAGTTGTAGCTTGACATTATTTTCATATTATATCAAATACGTAAGTAAATTATCTCGTAAAAAAAATATATCTTATATTTGTAAAACAACAACATTATTAAGCTTTAATATACAAAGGGATTAACAATCTTCTATTTATTCTTCCTTATGTTCGTACTTGTTAGTAGTGTTATGTTATTTTTATACTTTTAAAGTCTAAATTTTTATTAATCTTACTCTCCTCATAATTTTATTTGACTAAAATAAAAAAAAATATTAAATATAACGAGAAATTATATATTATCTAGTAAAATAATATGACATTTCCAAGATATAATATTGTATGATATTATATGGAAAAATCCTTTCGATCGAAAAATTTGGCCAGAATGGTAAAATAACATATTTCACACCACGTTATTTTAGCTTTTTGAAGATTTTACCCTTTTAATTTTACTACTTTTTAGTTAAAAATGAAAAAATATATATATTTTAAAATAAAAAGAATATTATAGATTTTAAAAAAATTTGGCCATTTAAAATTATCCAATATTATATTTTTAAGAAATTTATGTTGGACCGTACATATCTGAAAATTTTAAAGTTTTGTGCATAAATCGCGTTTGAGAAACGCGATTTACTCTTTAGTTAAGGTTTCGCTGCATTTCTTTGTTTTTCCTCTTAAGTGCATTAATTGAATTAAAAAAGTGCGATATTTTCCATTATTATACAAGACTTTATTTTATTGCATTTATTTCACCACTTTATTTAATTTATTCTCACATAAATATACATACATTTAATAATATTGAAGATGTAATGTGTAAATTCTCAATCAAATTAAATTTTTTTGATTTTCGAAAAATGAAATGTATCAGATTTTATTTAAAATTTTTATATTTATTGATAAAAATTCAAAACTAATTTTACGTTATATTTCAAATTCAAAATATAACTTATAATTTGTTTGTTAGCTCACTTTTAATTTCATACCAAATAAATATAATATATTTTAAAATTTATGATACGTTTATATTGTATGCATAATCACTTTAGTATATAACACATTCAGCATACTATTGCTATAAATTATAGTTATATATAAAAACATCATCACTAAAATATATAATTATTTTCCTAATTAGTATGGTTATAAAAGGGATTTGTGTCATAAGGGAAAATTATGCGGTTAAACAAACTTATACTCATCATAACTATGGTTTTCTATAATTATCACTTGCGATTAATATTATACATTAATTATGTGGGTTGACTTTGAGTTTGTATAACTAGCCACGTTTGTATATGTATAATTCGTAATAATATACAAATATATATGTATAATATATCATTATCTAATTGATATACATATACAATTCACCTCTCTCCAGCTCTTTTCCCCCTCTCGCTCGCCTCTCCTCCCTCTATCAATCTCGCTCGCCACTCTACGCTCTCTCCCAATCGCGCTTGTCATATATACAAGTTCATATGTATAATATACAATTATTTAACCAATTTACATATACAATTCACTCTCTTCCAGTCTATATCTTCTCTCGCTCGCCTCTCTCCCAATATCGCTTGCCTCACTCTTTCTTCTCCCGTTCTCGCTCATCTCTCTCCTCCCTCTCCCAATATCGCTTGTCGTATATACAAATACATATAAATAATATACAATTATCTAACCAACATATATATTCAATTCACCTCTCTCCTACTAATTGTCCTCTCTCGCTCGCGTCTCTCCTCTCTCTCCAGTCTCGCTCGCTTCTCTTCTTTCTATAACATGTAGCTACGAACAATAATTATCAAATTATAACTATGAAGAGTAATTAGGCTATTTTTTAGTGATTATGAGAGTTCTTCTACACGTAAATTAAAGGGTGTGTTTGGTAATTGCTATGAAGCCAAATATATATTATATGTCAAAAAAAATTATATATTATATAGTAAAATAATATAAATATTAAAGGGTGTGTTTGGTATTTGGTATGAAGCCAAAAATACATTATATGTCAAAAAAATTTATATATTATATAGTAAAATAATATAAGTTTCCCAATATATAATATTGTATGATATTATAAGAAAAAAGAAATTCTCGCCAGAAAATGCATTAATTTAATTTACAATATGGTACCAATTTTTTCCATGTTTAAACAAGACTTTACTTAATTGCATATATTTCACCACTTCAGTAATTTATTCTCACATAAATACACATACAATTAATAACTTTACTATGCCAAATTTAATAATGAATATAGATATAGAGATTGTTTTATATCTTGTTATTTTTTTATAATTTTGTGTCGATTACCTTTTTTTTGTGTTGAGGATCCATCGAAATGACTTTCCACCTTAAAAATATTGGGACAAGGATGGTATACTACCCTGATCAAAGGGTACTTCTGAGATTACACTTAATATGTTATTAATTGTTCTTATTACTTAGCTTAATATGTTATTAGTTGTTCTTATTATTTTTCTGTCATAAATTTTCATACAATTTAAGTTTTTTGATAATCAATTATTGTAACTTATACTAGTATGTTATATATATATATATATATATATATATATATATATATATATGTTGAGGAACTTTCACATATAGTCATTCGAAAAATAACCTAATTACTTTCCATGGATATACTTTAATAATTACAATTTGTAGCTACATGTTATAAGAAGGAGAGAGAGAGAGGCAAAGAGTAGGAGAAAGATGAATTGTATATGTATATCGGTTATATAATTGTATATTATACGTATGTATTTGTATATGTCTCAAGCGAGATTGGGATAGGGAGGAAAGAGTCGAACGACATTGGGCGAGGTATAGGTGAGCGGGATTAGGTGAGGCAGGAGATTGGTGAGCGAGATTGGGAGAGGGAGGAAAGTGGCGAGCGAGAGAGGGCAGATAGTGGTGAAGAGGTGAATTATAATGTAGGGGTGGGCATAAACACCGAAAAACCGAAACACCGAACCGAACCGAATTTTTTTAGAATTTCGGTTTCGGTATTTCGGTTTTCGGTTCGATATTCGGTTTAATTTTTTGTATTTTTCGATATTTCGATTCGGTTTTCGATACATATTACTTTGGAATTCGGTATTTCAGTTTAAACCGAAATTTTATGCTATAATTTAATAATTTATAAATTATATTATATTAATTAATAATTATTAATATTAAATATTTTTTTTTTAAAAAAAAGTAAAAACCCTAATACCCTACTTTTGACTCTTTCTCTTTCTACCAGATTTTTTCAATTCACTCCTCATCTTCTTGACTTCTTCCTCTTCATTTCTCTCTTCCTCTTCTACTCCAAGTCTCCAACCACTCTTGTCTTCCCTGAAGCACCGCCAGGCGCCAGCCACAACAAGGGAAGCAGCAGCCAGCAGCACAGCAGCAACCAGCCGCCGCCCGCCAGCAGCACAGCAGCAGCCAGCCACAGACAGCAGCAGCCAGCCGCCAGCCGTGACAACACTCAGCAGCAGCCAGCCGCCGGACGTGCAGCAGTCAGCAGTCAGCCAGCCGCCGGACGTGCAGCAGTCAGCAGTCAGCCAGCCGCCGGACGTGCAGCAGTCAGCAGTCAGCCAGCCGCCGGACGAATTAAATAGGCCCATTAAAAAACCGAACCGAATTAATAAAAACCGAACCGAATTAACTCGGTAAGCAATTTATAAAAACCGAAAACCGAAAAAACCGAAAAAAAACTGAACCGAACCGAAAAACCGAATGCCCACCCCTATTATAATGTATATCGATTATATAATTGTATAATATACATATGCATCTGTATACAAGGCAAGCGAGATTTGAAGAGGCGAGTGAGAGAGGACAAAGAGTGGGAGAGAGGTGAATTGTATATGTATATCCGATATTATATTTATGTTGAACCGTGCATCTTTGAAAATTTCAAAGTTTTATACATAAATCGCTTTTGTGAATATGCTTTAATTAAGGTCTTAAGGACATTTGCTCCATTTCCCCGTTTTTTCTCTTAATTGCATTAATTGAATGTACAAATTAGCCTACATTATCCATTATTATACAATAACTTTATGTTATTGCATATATTTCACCACTATTTTAATTTATTCACATAATAAATATACATACATTTAATAATTTACTATGCCAAATTTATTAATCGATATAGATATAGAGATTGTTTTACATATTGTTATTTTGGTTATTATTTTTTTTTATAATTCTGCGTCGAATATTTTTTTTTGTGTTGAGGGTTCATCGGAAACACTTTCTACGACATTAAAAAGGTGGGGACAAGGATGATATACATTATATCATGCTCAAACCATACTTATGAGATTACACTTGATATGTTATTAATTGTTGTTTATTACTTAGCTTATATACTTTGATATATATAGTTACAAAGATGGTTTTATATCTTGCTATTTTGTTCTTATAATCCTACGTTGGATGGTTCCCTTTTTAAATGAGAGTCTTTTAGAAATAACTTCTCTACCTCATTAAGGTAGAAATAATGTTTGTGTACATCTTACATCTATGGGTGTAATCTTAGCCCCCCCCAAAAAAAAGGTCAAAAGAATTTATATGTTGTATTAGCGAAACACGATGGGGTGAAATGTAGGCGTTAGTAAGCTTTGTGTTTGAGCTAATTTGCATCGCTTCACATCATTGGTCTCAAGCCCAAATAAAGAGAGAACAGTTGCAATAAATCTTACGATAATCTCAAAATCATCATGAAATATTCTTCCTTAAACACTAACCCGGCCAAGACTCACCAATAAAGTAACTCCGCCCTGTGTTTTTTGGATCAAATTCGGTGACAATTCTCCACTCATGTCCTTCCAGAGCTGGGTAAGTAGTCAATTTCTTTATTCTCAACTTATATGTTATTTACAAATTTAATTGTATGGATTTTGTTGCTCGTGACAAAAACTTTTAGCGACTAATTTAAGTTGTGACGAGATGGTTGAAACGTCTTCATTTTGATAGTGATATCAGATTTGGTCCATTTCAGAATGAAAAAAAGAATTCTATTGAAAGCACGTCTTTGAAAATAGAGCCTATAATATGTGAATTCAAATTCGGAACTAGTATATATATATATATCTATACACGTATATACGAAACAAAAAGTCCATGCCTTTTTGCATGTCTCTACAAAAACTACGCCGTAACGACACGTGTCGTTTCAGCGATTCTTCAAACTCTTTAACAAACAGTCCTTTATACCTTCACACTCATATTTTTTTTCTGCAAATCTCTCTCTCGAGGAGAAATCATTACTCAAGAGGTAAAATATTTTTCATATTATCGATCTTCCCTGCATGTATTCAATTTGATTTGAAATGGTTCTCGATTCATGTAACTACATTTTTTTTTTGATTTTTTTTTGTGTAATTATGTGATCTACATTGAAATAGCTGCTGATTCATGTGCTTACGGCGTTTTTTTCAGATTTTTTTTGATGATTTATGTGTATAATAATGTGTTTTATGTTGAAATTGCTGCCGATTCATGTGCTTAGATTTATTAATTTTTTTTGATTTTTTTTTGGTGTAATTATGTGATCTACATTGAAATAGCAGCTGATTTATGTGGTTACGACCTTTTTTAAAGATTTTTTTTGATGATTTATGTGTATAATTGTGTGTTTTATGTTGAAATCGCTGCCGATTCATGTCCTTACCGTTTGTTTGTTTTTAATTTTTTCCCCTGATATATGTATATAATTTATGTGTTCTATATTGAAATAACTGTTGATTCGTGTGATTACAGCGTTTTTTTTATGTATGTGTGCGATTATGTGTTCTATGTTGAAATAGTTGTTGATTCATGCGCTTACAGCGTTTTTTTGATGATGTATGTGGTTAATATTTGTTAGGATTTCTGCAATGTCGGTGAAATCGGATCGAAATGTATGAAATTATGTGTTTAATGTCGCAGTAGCTGCTGATTCATGTGTTTACAGCGTTTTTTTGATGATGTATGTGGTTTATATGTGTTAGGATTTCTGCAATGCCGGTGAATTCGGATCAAAATGTGTGAATTATGTGTTCTATGTTGAAATAGTTGTTGATTCATATGGTTACAACGTTTTCTGATGATGTGTGTGTTTTATATTTGTTAGGATTTCTGCAATGTCAGTGAATTCGGATCAAAATCTCAAAGTTGTTAGTGTTGATGATCAATCAGGAAATGAAACCCTAATGAAAAATCGAAATAATCTGAATTTAGTTTGTGAATCGGTTATTGATGATGGGGTTAGGGTTTTTGGAGAAGGTAATGATGTTGTTAAGGGTTTAAGAGTGGAAATGGAAGGTTTAGGTGTGGAGATTGACTTGGGTCCATGTGATCTCGAAGGTGGAATGGGGTTTGCAGGGTATGGTCGGCTTGACGGTGAGCTTGTGGTTGATTTGACGAGATTTTCACAACTTACACGAAGGGGGAATATAGTAGAAGGAGCCGACAACATGCAAGAGGTATCAGGTGGGACAAATGGATCTGTTCGTGATGGTAGAACAGTCAACTTTAATGATGGTATACATGTTGGGCTTGATGCTGTCATTCCAGAAAGACGAGAGGTTAAGCACAGAATGGAAGATGAAGGGAAGTTTAACGTGTCCGATTTAGTATGGGGTAAGGTGAGGAGTCATCCTTGGTGGCCTGGGCAGATATTGGACCCTTCTGCTGCATCAAACAGCGCAATGAAATATTTCAAAAAGAATTGCTATCTTATAGCTTATTTTGGTGACCAGACATTTGCATGGAATGAAGCATCTAGCATTAAGCCATTTCAGATGTACTTCTCTCGAATGGAGAAACAGTGCAACTCAGAAAACTTTTCTCATGCAGTGAACTGTGCTCTAGATGAAGTCTCTAGACGGGTTGAGTTAGGGCTCGCCTGCCCATGTTTGCTGGAGGAAACCCGAGCAAAAATGGAATGTCAGATTGTTGCAGTGGCTGGTATCCAGGCGGAATCAAACATGAGAATTGGAAGTGACAACTTTTCAGATCAAACCCCATTTAACCCTGCCGAACTTGTTAGAACACTCAAGTCAGTAGCAGCAGCTCCACATTCCCGGCTTGACAGGTTGTCGTTTGTGTTGGCAAAAGCTCAGTTGGTGGCCTTCAATCGCTGGAATGGTTATAATGAGCACCCAGTAATAGAAGAACTTTGCGATTTGTTTGAGAATGATAATGATGTTGAACCACTGCCTGGAAAGAAAGATGCTAGTGATGTGGTGTCGGAGGAAAATTCTAATGTCCAAGGTACTTCCTCAACAAAGCGTCCTCGTTGCTCGGGGATAGCTGATCATCCTGGTAAAAAGGTAAAATCAATGTCCATGTTGGTGTATGGGAGCAGTTCACGTATATCAAATGATCAGAAGAAATCTAGAGGGATAGCTGGGCGAGAGAGGAAGTCTGTGTCGTCTGAGAAGAGACATTTAACATCTGAATATATGCCTAGCAATTCAAAGGCAAAAAGAAGGAAAAAAGAATTATCACAAAGCAGTCGTAACAAGATCTCTTTACCATCTCATAAAGCTGCAAGGCGAAATCTCAAGTCTATTGACAGAAACTCACGAAGAACTAGTGAGCATAATGAGAACTCGAGAAATATTGGTTTTGGAGATTCAGTACTTGGTCTTGTGAAATCTGAAGGAGCACAGTTGATTCCAAAAAAGCTCCCTTCTTCAACAGAAATGCTCTCAAAGCTCTATTCGGCAGCCAGGGATCCCATGAATGCGAGTAGTATTTTGCTGTCACAAGCTAGTTTGTTCTGTGATTATAGGAATTTAACTTGCTCTGAAACTACCGTGTCAGCAGACCACTCAAAGCTGACAGAAAAGCACATAGGACAAAATCCATCCAACTTAGCTACTGAAACTTTGTTGATAGAAGGTATTGAGGACTCATATTGGACTGATAGGATTATTCAATGCAACCCCGAAGATCAAGTGTTATTTGAATCAGAGGTCCAAAATGAGGAGGATTTTCCTAATGCTAAATGGGAGATTTCTCCTGGCTTGAGTACGATCTTGGACCATAAACAAGAAGTAGGCCCGTCGGTTGAGAATTCAGAAAGAGAAAATTTATCTGATCTTGTGGATGGAAGTTCCGAATACTCCCCAACCATGCTGATTCTTAAGTTTTCTGATTTAGAATCAGTTCCTCCCGTAGTAGATCTAAACATAATATTTAGTCAGTATGGTCCACTTTGTGAATCTGAGACCAAGCTTATTCACAAGAGAAAACAAGTAAAAGTTGTTTTCAAAAGGCGTGCCGATGCTGAAACTGCTTTTAGCAAGTCAGGGAAATTCAGTATTTTTGGTCCATCACTCATCAGTTACCGCCTACAGTATTCACCATCACCATGCAAAGCATCTTGTACCTCTAAACGTAAAAGGAAGTATGCAGCATCATTAGCAGTGAATGGCGTTCGAAAGTGAAGTAAGATGAATTCTTCATTACGTAAGTTGTTGGATTTCCCTGTCGGATTAATTAGTTAACTTGTTAGCTATGTTAATATGATTTTTGTTGCACATAGCTGAAATTAACTACTGACTGTTTTGTCTACTTAGAAATGTTTTAGATAGAGAAAAATAGACTGGGAAATATCCCTTTTATTTGTGTTCAACTAAGAATTTTGTGTCTATATATTTGTTTAACCCGGAAATATAATATATTTTGGCATCTAGTCATTTCGGTATACTTGATGAATTGGTTTTGACAGTTCAAATTTCTTCATATTAATGAAGGTAAGATGCACTTACAATTGATTGTCCTCTGTTGACTGTAACTTGCTTCTTTAGTAAAGGGTGTGATACTATTGAATTACTTGGTCTTTGCTACTGAAAATATAAGTTGCGGGGACTCGTTCACTTTTGATGTTGCATCTCTGTCGGATTCTTCAAAAATACACTACTTTTGGAGAAGCTGACATGCATCCGTGAGATATGTAATTTCTTAACGTGGTGTCTTAGAATATGCATATACCTTATCTATGACTTGCTATAATCTCATTTGGCCCAGATGAGATGAGGGAATTTTAATAGTTTTCATGTTCATGGGGGGAGATTGTACCTCCCTGAGGCTAAAGGCCGAGAATGATTCCCATCTGATCAGATGGGATGGCTTCTCATCCAATCATTAGACGGAAAAGAGGTCAGTTTGTTGAATCCTTTCTCTAGTACCCAAATTCAACTTCCGAATCAATTTGTCTTAACTCCTTTATAGGTTTAAGGTTTAGGAGAAGAGGAGGATGAAGAAATAAAGGAATATGTTACATCGAAATGCTATTTTATCTGTCAGTCCTTTGTTTACATCAGATTATGTACTTGTCATTGCATATAACACATATGTTAATCATTTAGCTTTTTCGCGACCTGGAGATACTAATTGGACTGAATTCGAAAATCGGTGGAGTCTGCTATATGATTTACTACAAGAGTCGATTCTATCTTGTTTATTGGGGCGCTGAAATAGGTATCATTGATGTTCAAGATGGTCCTGAACCACGCGTAGAATCGCGCTTGATTCATCTTGACGATAATCGTGACTTGTTTTCACAAGGTAATGTTCAATACTATCTTGTTGAGGTAAATGATGCATTATTACTACTTGTTCGATTTGGTAGAAACCGTCCAGATGTTGAAGATGGTGTGGACACTTGTAAATGTGAAGTATATGAATTAGATGCAGTGGAAGGTAAGTTCAAAGAGATTAACAACTTGGGAGATTCAACTATTTTTTTTGGGTCTTTCATTGATTCCCCTAAAGTTATCGGAGCTGAGCCTAATCATATATATTTTACTGACGATTGGTTTGAAGAGAACTATTTTTTTTGGAATGTGGCGGTGGAAAAAACACAGGGGCTTACAATCTTGAAGATGGAAGTATTGAATCTTTTATCCTGAATTATCACTGAGTCGTTCTTGTCCGCCAACTTGGGTTATACCATCATTATGATCATCATGACGATTTATTTGTGATCAACTAAGAGGTCTCGAATTTGAACTTGGGAAACACAATAATGATAGGAGATTTAGGTTAGATGGAGAGGGACAACAAAATCTGCTCAATTGGTAGAAATTGTAAATGTTGTTTTTACTATAAGGCTATTAGACCAATATCATGCACTCGTAAATTAGATGTCTTGACTTCGAACCTTATATATGACATTCCTCCTTTAAGGACACTCTGCGCGAGGCCTTACAAATTTGAATAAGTCGAATCAGTGAATTTACATGCATAGATGGCGTGTGGTAAACTAAAATGATGCTTTCAACACACTTTCGAAATCGATATCGCAAATCAATAATAATACGTGTGTGACCATAAAAATCTTTGTTAGTAAAATTTAGAAAGATAACGAGAATAATAATAAAAGATGTGGCATGAATGATCTTCGGTAATTTGATTTAAATCCATAGTTTGTGAATTAGTGTCATCAAATATTATATCATGTTTTTTTTTTAATTTGTTTTTTTAAAGCTGAAATTATCACACAAATTCAACATATGATATGAAATTATATCTTTGCCATTTTTGATCTTATAGATCTATTTCAATTATATAATTGTTAAACATAAGTAACACCAAACAAAATGTAGATAGGTGAAAGAAAAAAAATTGAGTTCAAGATAATTATAATTTATATATATATATACAAATATAAACTATACACACACCACTTATATAACATAGATACAAATATAAATACATATTGTATATCAGTTATAAATATGACAGATATATTCAGTTCACCTCTCTCTACTTTCTGTCCTCTCTAGCTCGACTCTCTCTTCCATCTTTCAATCTCGATCGTCACTCTTCTCCTTATAACTTGTAGCTACCAATCATAATTAACAAACTACAACTTTAAAGTGTAATTAAACTATTTTTTGAGTGATTATATGCAAAAGTTCTCGATCGTCAATATTTCAAAATATATTCTTTCCGTTTTAATTTATTTGGCTTATTTTAACTTCACATAAAATTTAAAAAAATAAAAAAAATTACCAATACAATAAAATGTCAACTAATCTCATAATATTAAATATATTGTACCAAAAGTCAAAATTAAAAAATCGCCACAAATAAAAAAATAAAACTTAAATTTAAATAAATTGAAACAAAACGAACCGAGGATGATTGGTCCAAAGTCCAAACGGCTAGTGAAAATATTAAATTTCATTTTTTTTTTCTTTTCCACCATTTCTTTTGAAAAACCGCTTTGTTACCAATTCAAAAAAAATATATTCCCTCTTTGGCTGTAGGGGTTCCATTTTTTTTATTGCAATTTTTTTTTTTTTTTTTAGAAACCCCTTTATCCCCTTTTCCATTCAAATTTGAAATCAAATTCAGATTTAAAATCAAGTTTTAGCTTGGATTTGTACTGGTGGGGTTCATTGAAAAGAGTGAAAAAAATGGATTTTGAAGTGAATGAGTTTAGTTTTATTGATTTTTCATTGGAAAATGACAATTTTATTGGAAATTTATTTTTTCCTTTTCCTTTTTGGGGTTTTGAAGAATACCCATTTTCAGGTTTTTGGTGTTCCATTTTTTTTTTCATGGGTGATTGTTGATTTTAGTTGTTAGTTTTGTTTAAAAACCTGTTTTTCTTCTTCTTTGTTTAGTCTTGAAATTACAACAATGATTATATACCTAGTGTAAGGTATGAGGACGGTAGTGTGTATGCAGATTTTACCCTAATTTGGGTGATATAGGAGCTGTTTTGGATTGATTTGAAACTGTGGGATTAGAGAAAAATATAGTCTTTCTGACAAGATCTGGAAAAAGAAGGGAAATTAGCTTGTTACCCTTTTGGGTTTTTAATGAATTCAATTATTCAGTTGTGGATTTTGTTTACTTTGTTACTAGTTTTTGATACTTTGTTTAGTGTTTGAACTATTGAATAAAAAGAGTAGCTTTATTCGAGGGTATAACCTCTCTAAGTAGGGGTAAAGTACATGTATACTCTACCTTCCCCCGTCACTACTTGTGGGATTACAATGGGTATGTGAAGATCTGGAATAAATTGAGTTTTCTCGCACCCTTTGGCTGTTTAATGTGATTTCATTTGAATGAATGTGTGGAGTATCAGGAATTTCCAGGTTGATCGATCCCACCTCAAATAAATTGAAGGAAGAAATCGCTGATAGAAAAAAGTGACTAAGTAGCTTGAGGTTGATATAGATCTTTTTGGAGTTTATTAGTTTGGGTTTCATGCATGTTTATTCCTTGAACTTCTGAGCCGTGCTGGGGGCTGAGAAGTACTTAAGAGGGATTTAGACATGCTTTTCTGAGCTTTTGATAGTAGTTTTGTTGGAAAAGAAGTAATCTTTTAATCCTATTTGATTGATGGCCCATGAATTAAAGTGCTCATGGAGTGTTATTTCTTTTTTGTATTTGGTATGTCTCTGAATTATAATCATTTAATGTGGGAATGGACCCATTTAGCTCATTTAACTCATAATGAAAAAGGATGCTGACCTTTTATGAAGCAGCTAGTGGAGATTACCCTGTAGAGAGCTGGATGAGGGGAAGCCCTTACATCTGATACTAAAGATGGGAATATCCTGACCCTGTTATAATTATGCCCGCGCATTGTTACGTTGTTCAACTCTATTTGGATCTTTTCTAGTATGTGGAACTCTTTACTGAAAGAACTTAAAGAATAGCTAGAGTTGTTGTTTCCTGATGGAGATTTAGAGTGGCTTAACTTTCTCGATAAAGCCTCAAAGGTGGACCTTTTCACTCTCCTCGGTTTTTATGATAATTTATTAGAGTAATAAACTTCTTATTTTGCTTATGCTGCTTCAATTCGTTTCTTTTTTGATCTGTGTTCAGATAGTGGTACTAAGCTACATCTGCATACATGAAATGGTACATTGTGGTTGAATTATTTTCGTTTTGTGCTGTTTAGCAAACCAGACTGAGGCTAGAATCTTGGTGTTTTCAGGAGCTATTAATATTCAAGAGGGAATGGACATGGCTGGTAAAGGTAACAATGATGAGCAGTTCCCTCAGCTGCATGAGTCGAAGGAACCTGAGAAGGCCAGAAGAAAAGGAAAGGTCAATTTGCGCAAAAGTTTAGCTTGGGATAGTGCTTTCTTTACAGATGCAGGTAGCTTTTGTTTATAGTTTGTATTAAGGGGGATTTATTTATCTAATCCTGTACTGCAAACTCAAGATTACTATAACAACATATTCAGGTGTGCTTGATGCCGATGAGTTGTCCTGCATGATTAAGGGAGGTGATAAACAAACTTTACCTATGATTGAGGAGGATGTGCGACAATCACTTGATTCAATTTCCACGTTGGAAAGTGATAATTTGACACTAGAACATATTGAATCAGAGTTATTTGGAGATATAAGAGCCTCAATCCAGAAGGTGGCCATTCCAACTAGTGGGGATTTATCTGCAAAGACAGATAATGTAGCTAATTCTTGTAAGTTAATAGTATTTGGGAGTGGGAGTGGGAGTGGAGAAGGGTTACTTCCTATAGGGTCAGATTTCTTTTGAGTTGAAGTTTCAATCATCATAAGAGATATGCATATTTCTCGCACATTATTCCAATCTAATATTAATCTTTTTTACAGCGGCAAAGAAAGTGGATCTTGCTTCAAAAGATAGGGTAAGTTTAATTTTGTAGAGATGACAATTGAAAATTTAGTTACTTCTCTATATTTATTAACAATTATTGTCTATATTCTCTAATGTCAGATGAAGCCAAAAATTGCTCCAAAAAGAACTAGTGGAGCACAAGCTGGGATACCCAAAAGTCAGCCAAAGCAAATTACTGGAACACAAAGATTGGGTAAAGGGTTGAACCAGGATAAGGCACAAGTCACACAGGCATGTAATTTGTCTTTGAAGTTTCATTTCTATTAGCCAGCTCAAACAATATTCCTTACAGTGTCATCATATTTTCATATTTCCTTTTGGTTTAGAATACTGTTTTCCCCATATTTTCTTTTCTATAGCCAATTAAAAAAAATTCCTTATATTTAACGAAAATATGATCATTCATCTTCAATTTTCCCTTTTTTCAGTCTGCTAGCTGTAGTCTTTTAAAGTATTGGTTGATTAGCAAAAGAATTGGGACTTCTGATATTTTACTGACATTGCTTTTTATTGCTTAATGAAGTCTATCAGTAGAACGACAAGTGTAGCATCATTAAAGCCTCCAAAAGTTAACACAAAGTTGCAACCTGTTTATGCATCCAAAAGGGCTTCTTTGGATATCACACGAGTCAAATCAGATAATGACAGCATGAAAATCAGTACAGGTAGTGGTAAAAGACTTAATTAAATTTTGGATTAATTTCTGAGTAAAGGATGAGTAATAGCCGTCTTCAATCATTTATGGTTTGTAACAATTTCTTAAACATTTCTTCTGACCTAGATAGTTTAATGGTATATTGCAGCTTCTGTTAGAGGGGCTCAGACACCAAAAGCATCTGCCTTAAATAAAACCAGTAGGGTGTTGCCCAAACCTGCTACATCGATGAAGCCATCTTCTGTGGGATCTTCACCTGCAATGAAAATGCATGCAATAAGATCTTCAAGTGATAGTTCTGGAAGTACTTCATCTGACAAGACAGCTAAGTCTTCAATTCCTGTAGTGAGGAGAAAGATTGATAGCAAACCTATTGCCCAACCTTCTGCAAGTGCAAAACTCAAAACCCCTTCAAAAGCCGCGGTGAAGAGTAAACTACCATCTGGGAATTCTGCTGTCTCAGCTTATCTGATGTCTTCGAAGATCAACGCAAATATATCGCCTGCTAGTTCTATTAGTGAGTGGTCTTCTGTATCATCATCATCTTCTGCGATCCAAAGGTCTAGCAAGTTAAGGACTAGCTTTGACACCAGCTCCTGCAGATCTTTTGATAGTGACACCTCGGCTTTGGATATAAACAATCAATTAATTGATCAGAAGTCAGATAAGCCCGAGATTAGGGGAACAACTTTACCTAGAGAGAGTTCAAAGCAAGCAGGCTCAGTTTCTCGTCCAGCCTCTATGATGAAACCAACAGGATTGCGCATGCCATCCCCGAAGATGGGTTACTTTGATGGGGTCAGTTTAGTTTTCTTTTTATATGGATCTATTTTCATGTCCTTGAATTAGAAATGCTTTATGTGATGAAAGCATCAAGTATTATGATGATAAGATCATTACCAAGTGGAAAGAAAATAGGTGTATTTAAGTTGGCTGATTTTTTTTTGTTTGGAAAAAATGATTACTGAGTGCAGGACTTTCATATAGTCAAGGCCATTTTCTGGCAGCTTCATGAAAGTATCTTATGTTACTAGTAACAATCTTCGTAATTCTTGAATCTCAGTGCACTTCCAAATTTTAATGTTAAAGCTTACTGTTATGCAGGTGAAGGCAGTCCGCACTCCTAATGGTACTCATTCCAATCCGTCTACTGCACTGTACAAGAAGGAAGCTACCATCTGTAGCCCTAAAGTAAACTCAAACAATAAAGCTAAGAGTGTAAAAGTTCCACTGAGGGCAAACAGAGAGCCTGAAACTCTGAAACACCTCTCTCCTTTATCTTCTTCAGACAAGTCAAATAATTCAGATAATCACTCTGGCACTCAATCCAGTTCAGCTAGTCCAGTGCCCAAAACTGAAACTATCGTCTGTAGCCCAAAAGGAAACTCAAACACAATAGCCAAGAGTGTGAGAGTCCCTCTTAGGGCAAATAAAAAGCCTGAAACTCTGAAACACCGCTCTCCTGCATCTTCTTCAGACAAGTCAAATGTTTCAGATAATCACATTGGTGGTCCAAGTGATATTACTCTTATTCCTGAGTTATCTCTTGAAGTTCAACATGAAATAAGTGGAGCAAATATCGATGTTCTGGCAGAAGAACCTGATCCATTTGAACACATCCAAAGTGCTGGTTGGGTTGCAACTCAGGGTGAAAATCAAGGCATAGCAAGTGCTTTGAACAGTGAGGAAGATAAGGCTGAAGGACGTGATACAGTTGAGCATGTTGCAGATGCTAGCTTGGTTGCAACTAAGAGTGAAAACCAAGGTACAGCAAGTATATTGAACAATGAGGAAGTTGTCTCTTTGGTTTCAAGTATGAGTGAAATCCAAGGAATAGCAAGTAAATTGAACAATGAGGAAGTTGTGGCCGAAGGACCTGATACAGTTGAACATGTTGCAGATGCCAGTTTGCTTGCAGCTATATTGAACAATGGGGAAGTTGTAGCCAAAGGATCTGATACAGTTGAGCATGTTGCAGATGCTAGTTTGGTTGCGGCTATATTGAACAATGAGGAAGTTTTGGCTGAAGGACCTGGTACAGTTGAACATGTTGCAGATGATAGTTTGGTTGCAGCTATATTAAACAATGAGGAAGTTGTGGCCAAAGGATTTGATACAGTTGAGCATGTTGCAGATGTTAGTTTGGTTACAGCTATATTGAACAATGAGGAAGTTGTAGCCGAAGGATCTGGTACAGTTGATCATGTTGCAGATGCTAGTTTGGTGTCAACTATATTGAACAATGAGGAAGTTGTGCCTGAAGGACCTGTTACAGTTGAACATGTTGCAGATTATAGTTTGGTTGCAGCTATATTGAACAATGAAGAAGTTGTAGCCGAAGGATCTGATACAGTTGAGCATGCTGCAGATGCTAGTTTGGTTGCGGCTATATTGAACAATGAGGAAGTTGTGGCTGAAGGACCTGATACAGTTGAACATGTTGCAGATGATGGTTTGGTTGCAATTAAGAGTGAACAGCAAGTCATTGATAACAATGATATTCACGAGATTAAGAGTGAAAACCAAATAATAGCAAACACTTTGAACAATGAAGTTGTGGCGGAAGTGCCAGAAGCAGTTGAACATATAGCAGGTGATGCTTTGTTTGCAATTGAGAGTGAAAATGAAGTCATTGTGAAGAATGATACAAATGTGATTAAAAGTGAATACCTAAGACTAGAGGAAGTTGTAGCCGATGAACCTGACACAGTTGAACACGTTGCATGTGATGGTTTGGTTGCAATTAAGACTGAAAATAAAGTCACTGTGAACAATGATACAAATGTGATTAACAGTGAACACCAGAGAATAGAGGAAGTTGTCGCCGATGAACCTGACACAGTTGAACACGTCGCAGGTAATGGTTTGGTTGCAATTAAGAGTGAAAATCAAGTCATTGTGACTAATGATACAGATGTGATCATGAGTGAACACCAAAGAATAGAGGAAGTTGTGGCTGATGAGCCCGTCACAGTTGAACATGTTGCAGGTGATGGTTTGGTTGTAATGAAGAGTGAAAACCAAGTCACTTTGAACAATGATACAGTTGTCATTAAGAGTGAAAGCCAAAGAGTAGCAAGTACTTTGAACAATAAGGACTTTGTGGCTGAAGGACCTGATACAGTTGAAGATGTTCCAGGTGATGGTTTTGCTGCGATTGAGAGCGAAAATCACAGTGTTTTGAACAATGATATCCCGGCTGGTTTGGCTGCAATTAAGGGTCAAAAACAAGGTGTTATGGAGAATGAAATGAACTTGGATACTATTGAGAAGATTGACATCAAGCCTGTTGAGGTTTCTATTACTGAAAACATTAGACGGTGTCAAACAGAGGATGAAGATGGAGTAGGTGTTCAGTGCAATGGTAATTATAATTTGGACGTGCCTAGCCAGATGAATGAGATGAACCTGGAGGATAATGAAAATGGTTATAATTTGGACATGCCTAGCCAGATGGATGAGATGAACCTGGAGGATGATGTAAATGGTGACCTCAAACATACCAGGACTGATCATGTCGAGAGAGAATATGACTCAACTTTCAGAGGTGATGAAGGTAGAGTAGATGTCAAGGATGATTTGAATACTCCTGAGAAAACAAATGCAAAGAAATATGTGTGCGCAAATCAAGCGGACCAATCAAACAGTCAGGTAGAAGAAGTCAGCATGACCCCATTTAGCAATAAGGTTGAATCTCTAATGAACAAATTGGCCTATTTGTCACTAAATACCCCTCAGACAGCAGTTAGAAGGATCCCCTTTGCTGTCAAGAATTCTTCCGGTGATTGTCTTGATTTTTGTGAAGGAGCTGGACATGTAGTTGGGAAGACTGATTTAGATTTGCCTTCTTTGCAAATCGATCATAAAGAGAACAACAATTTATGAGGATAGCCAAGCATGCTTCATTGCAAGGTAACAGATGTGTTTCTATCCTGATATTATCATGAAAAGATCTTTCTCCCAAATGTAGTGAACTTCTCTGAAAAACTTAATCTTTAACCTCTTTTGCGTTTTATAAATTGGTGTATTGATGTGCTAATTTCGCGTAAACTTTGATCTTCAGAGATTGTTAGGCTTCAAGAACAAGGCTAGCTTCCGGGGGTGGCAAAAGCATCACGTTTGTATAGCACACATGACGAAGGCTTAAGTGATGCATGCTTTTTTTTTCTTTTTGCGTTGAGCTAAGATCAAGGTTTTTGAGAACATATGTCTGTGTAAGTACTGATATGTGTATTACATGAATGTAAAAACCTTGGATGTCTTTATATGTAAGAAGAATTACAGTCAAAACCTCACTAGATTCAAGAAAACTGCTATCAGTAAGCACATGTTTTCCTACACTCATTGGAGATTGTCTGATAAATGCAATGTTTTGATTTTCATGTATTGCTGTATAAATATCACGTTGCATGTGGATATCTTGCTGTCTTGCTCGAACTCTTAAACAATGTCAAACATATGCTGTATCGATATGGAAGAGTCCATGCTAAGTAAAATTGCTGTGTTAATACTGGCAAGTATTTCCACTTATTAGACCAATCATATCAACTTTCAACGATTCATGTATTTAAGTTACTCAGTATGTTACAAATATTGAATGCGAATAAATATTTTTTTCAACTCATCAAACACATCAAGCTTATGTACTTAACACTGAGAGACCTTGCCTTATCGTCAATTACCTTCTGACTGTAACTTAGGGCTGTGTATCGGCCGGTTCGGTTCGATTTTGAAGTTTATCGGGTTAGCTTATTGGTTATCGATTTGTAGAGATGCCATTAAGATATTGGTTTATCGGTTATTGGTTTATCGATCTTTGATCAATATCGGTTCGGTTATCGGTTTAACCGTTAAGATTTGTGACACAAAAGAAAAAACATTGAAAATCACTTGGAAACAAGGTGACTAACCAAATAAACCATGCACTTGAGTTCACAAGTTACATCTTGCTCAAAAGCAAACACTTTTACATTGTAGAATAATCAAGTATTTGAAACAACCAAAAATAAAAGTAGGAAATTAAACTCTAAGTCGAGGACTTTATATACAACATGGTATAAATATTATTATTATCAGGTTATCGGTCAATCCGTTAAGAAAAAACTTTAAACCGTTAAGAACCGATACCAAAAAAAATCAAAACCGTCATCAAAACCACTAAACCAATATCTTAATAATATAAACCAATAACTTTTTTATCAGTTCGACTTATCAATTTCGGTTCGATTTTGAACAGCCCTACTGTAACTCTTGTCCCTCTTGTGTCCCATCTCGCGAGGGGTTCTTTGATATGACATTACTGGTGTTGAATAGTTTCACATTCGAGACCAATCACATGAAAACACACCAAAGTGTGGTGAAATTATCAATTACACACCTAAGCTATGCAGTCTAACTTTTCTCTGTATAATTTACTTGACTTGTGTATCAAAGCAAGCATTAAGGTAACATTCGAACTCAAAATTAATGAACCAAAATTCCAGTACAATGTCTAATTAAATAGAAGTTGACAAAATAATAACTTGAATACAAGCTAAAAGTCCATTGCAGGCTCGAGGGTATTTTTGCAAAAAAAAAGAAAGAGAGGAGATAAATTAAGATCTTGGCTTCTCCTTCTTCTCCTTGAAGAGAGCTAGAAGAGAGACACCAGAAACCTTCACCACCTTGAAACGAACTCCGGGAATATCTCCCACGGCGTGACCTTTACGACCAAATCCAGCAATCAGCACTTCATCCTGCAAAATCAAGAACTCGTAAGGTCAGTACGTTACCCCAGAAAAATGCAAAACAGTCTACACATGTAAGAGCAAAAGACTCACGTTTTCTTCGATGTAGTTCAAGCAACCATCATTAGGGACAAAAGCAGCAATCTTTTTCCCATTCTTGATGAGTTGAACCCTAGCACATTTACGAATAGCAGAATTTGGCTGTTTAGCCTCAATACCTCTGCAAACACATATTAGCAACTTCACAGGTTAGATACAATTATAGATGTTTTTAAGATATGTAAGCAGAAAGATGAACGTACATCTTCTCGAGCACAATGCCTTTAGCATGGGAAGATCCAGCAAATGGCTTCTTCCATTCGTTACCAAGATGGGACTTCTTGTAGGACTTGTCAGCCCACCTTTGTCTTCTGCGGTGGGACTTCAGCTTGCGTCCAGCTCCCATTCCACGTGTCTTCCTGTGTTTTTAACCATGTCAGGAGTTAGTTAGTAGGAAATACATTACTGTGATTCCCACCAAGGATATTACTCATCATTTGGATGACAAATGATATGACACAATATCAGAATCCTAGCTTAGAACTCGAGCAGCACATCAATTCTCTATCAGTTAACTCATGGAAGATGTTACTAATTTTGTTCAAGAACATGTGAACTGTCCATTTTGGACGAGTAAACAAAGCAAAAGCCCATCTGGCCGATCTCAAATTGGATGAGAAGGCAAACCACCACAGATTAGTTAGAGTCAGCTATATGAATTAACTATAGCTAAATCTCAGATTAGTTAGAGTCAGCTATATGAATCCATCCAACCCCCTATATATATATATATATTCTGAATCACTGAACACAAAACTAGAAGTTTGCGCAGTCGTCTATAAGTTCAAAGATCAACTAGAGATTCAAAGTTCAAATCTTATGCACTATATTTTTATTTTTCGAACCTCTACCGTGAAATGAAAATCTTGGATCCGCCGCTGCCCCCAACGCCAAACCCCCATTTCAAGTCCACTTCTTTACAGTCATTACAAATTACAACTTCACCTATCCTATAATCTCAATTATTCAAAAACACTCAGCAAAATTGATCAAAATGGCCCCTTTAAGATAATTAACTATAAAAAAGTTCCATTCTTGAATAAAACCCACACACCCAAATGAAAAAAAAAAGCTCTTAAACACATAGATTTCACTACTATAAACAATCACACTAGTACTTGACCAAACAATTATCAAAAACTAAGAAAATTGGTTGATAAAAACACAATTTAAAAATGTTTCACAAGAAAATAAGTTCAGTATAAAATTTCGAAGGAAAAATAATGCATACCCCATGATTGCTGATTGAAGATGACTACTCCGGTTTACAGAGGTTGAAGAAGAAGAGTCTGCCGCCTAATAAAACCCTAATTCTGAGAATTTTGGGACTATATATATATACAAAGAGGGTTACATTTGGGCTGATAAAATTGTTGGGATCAAATATTTGGGCCCAATTTGAAAATAATTGGGTCATTAGGCTTACATATTTACGGGATGTAGCTACAGTTTAATTCGTGGGTACCTTTGTATAATTGAACTATTGTTGTATAAATTCGACATAACGAGTTTATACCAAGACAAACATTTGAACTTTAAATAGTTATACGAATTTCGATTGATATAAACGATCGAAAATTATACAAATTCGAAAACTCAATCCATGTAATTATAACTGAATGTTGATCGTGAGTGGTAATTAAGTAAAACTATACCTATGGTGACTAATTAATTTATTTATGTTTACTTAACAATGTAATTTTCCCTTGAATTTTTGTCATAAGGTCGTTGGTCTTTAATTTTTACCTTTCATGGCTTTAAATTTATAATAAAATAGCCAAAATAATTGCTAACAAGTAACAACGTAAAAACAAATCAAAAAATCACAAAGTACAAGTAAACAAAGACTAAAGTATCATAATTATTTGAGCTCCATATCTCAATTATAATATTAGTGTATGAATTTTCTATCTGAATTATCACTAAATGTTTATTAAAAGTTAAAACGCACGTCAACTATCAACAATTCAACATTGATACTTACTTAGTGTTAGTTTAGGTAGAAAATTAAATTTTGAGTTAAACTTAACCTCAAAAATTAATTCAAAAGATGACTAGTGAGAATTAATTACCCTATCTATCTCTTAAAGGGACGATGTGAGACTATTTACACCCCTCCACACACTTGTGGTTGGACATATGACACGTAAACAAATTAATGTAGAAACACAATATTAGAACCGAGAATTGAAATGACTCAAAAGATGACTTATGAAAATTACCCTGTCTATCCCTTAAAGGGCCGATGTGAGACTCTTAACACCCCTTCATACACTTGTGGTTGGACATATGACACGTAAACAAATTAATATGGAAACGCGATATTAGAACCGAAAATTGAGATGAGTCCTGCTCTGTGGTATTATATTAAAAAATGAATATTAGGTTAAATTCAACCCAAAAACTAATTCGAGATGTGAAAATCAGCTCAAGTCATATCAAAGACACCACTCATCCACTAAAAGGGCCAATGTGGGACTCTACACAGCAAAGATAGATAAAAAAAAATGTCATCTATGACATGAAAGAGCAAATTTTACCATTAATCATCTCTCATAGCTATCATTACACTTGCAACAAATACTTGGAAAATACAACAGTCTGTATCTAAAAATAACAATTGCCATACAAACTGGAGATTTCCAAACAGCTATACAAAAATCCGCGAAAACGATTAATTCCATGAAGGCTGAATCAGCTCAGCAAGTCCTGAGAAGGAAACTTAGTAGATTTATTAACAAATGATGAAAAATGTTTACATGATCAAGATTACTGAAGAATTGGAACAATGATCATGTGAAAGCAACCTGCACGATAGCGCGTTATTTACTTCTGTCCCTTTTTCAATAAAAAACCGAGTTTCTTCAACATGTTGTTGTTCTTCTTCTTTGGCGAGTCATCATCCAAGTCATCCAAGAGTGGTGAACCAAGCTTTCCACCGATAGTGTGGTAGTCTAAAGAACCTGTTCTCTCGACATATTTCCCGTTGTTTCCAGTTGAAAGCATAGATGCAGCTGCTTCAGCAGCCTTCCTCCATTGATCACATTGCACTTTTAACCTCCTTAGCTCGGTTTCGATCTCCGAGTTTGCAGCCTGTGCTGCATTCAGCTCGTCAGTGACACGAGTTACCTTTCTGCTGCTTTTGTCTGCTTCCTCCGTCAAATCTCCCAGCTTCATCAGGGCCTCTCTTTCTGCAGTTTTTGCTTCTTCTACTAAGGCAAGTGCCTCGTTGTTAACTTTGGTACTCTCCGATTCCCTCTTACTGATTTCCGACTTCAACTGTTCATTCTCCTCCATAAGACTCAGCAACTCTGTCTCTTTATCTAATAGATTTTCTCTCAGATCTCCCAAAACTGACTCTGAGTTCTTTAGTTGAGCAGCTAACTCAAACTCTTTATCAGTTGACTGCATTTGCTCAACATGCAGACTTAGCCCCTTATTCACATCTGAAATATCAACAAGTTGAGCTTCAACATTCATCAGTTTTTCTTTCAACTCTTCCACTTCCGATTTTGCTTCATTTAGTTTTCTTTCCCATTCAGCCTCCCTCTGAAGTGATTCGGATTTTGTGCGCTCCACCAGTTCATAAGCACTTCGTGTCTGCAAGGTGTTCTGGATGTATTCTTCCTGATACTTTCTCTCGGAATCCTCCAAAGCAGCTCTTAATTGACTTACCTCAACTTGGATGGTACTCAGCTCAATGTTTAGTTTATCAGCTTCTACATTTGAGCTGTTTCCTTCAGCAGCTACAGAACTTTCGGAAGAGTCTACTGGACCAGACTGGAGTTTTCTGACAAGCTCCTCCAATGAAGCTACTCGATCCTTTGATTTTTCCAACTCCAAAGACAAGGTCCTGCAAGCCTCCATTGCTTTCAAACCTTCAGAACGTAGAGTATCCTCGGTTATCTTGGCCACTTCCAGCTGCATCTGAGCTTTGCTCACTTCTTCAAATGAACAAGCCTCAGATTCCTTGCTATCGTTAAGCTGGTTTCTCAGTTTATCAACCAATGTAAGGGTCTTTGTAAGTTCAATCCTTAAGCTTTGTATCTCAACATAAGCTGACTCAGCATGATGAGCTTGAGCGGCTTCACAATCAGCCACTCGGTCCAGCTGAAGTTTAAGTTTCTGTATTTCATTCATGGCAGAGGCCAAAGCAGCAGAGTCCAACTCATGCTGCTTCTGGATAGCCTCAAGCTCAGATTGCCATGCTCGGTCTCGATCCTGTGATATCTTGCGCAACTCCAGCAGTCGAGCTTCTTCTGAATCTGAGAGATCAAGCAGCTGCTTCTTAGAGTCCTCGAGCTTTCCTGACATGACCACAAGCTGCTTTTTAGCTTCATCAGCATCCTGTTGAGCCCTTTTCTTCAATGATTCAGAAGAACTGAGTTGGTCCTTCGCCTTCTTTAGCTCATCTTGGAGTTGAGCAAGCTGCGTTTCCAAGTCAGATGCTTTGACAGGACGCTTCTTCTATGTTGTCAAATTAGAACATTGAGCATTAGAATAATATTATAAGTACCTTTAACAGCGAAAAGAACGAATAATTAGAAACAGAAACAAGTGGCTAGCACATTTTACACATAACATAACTCAAGCACCTCTATCACTGGACTCCGTGGTGACCGGCGACAAACAACTTTCGGACTCCTATCTTTAGGTGTCCTGTTGGCTGGATTCGGAGATGAAACAGAATCAACATCTGACCCTGGAGTCCTGAGCTTTCGAGCTGTCTTTAGTGTAGCAGCAGATATCCTTTGAGGCACTTCCACAGAAACAGTCCTTCAGCAGAATGGGAGAAAGAGAACAAGTTAGTTAAACAACTAGAGCAGATAATGATAATATTCTATTTCTCAAAATAGACGGTACAGACTCGCCAATAAGTACAATTCGTGTAATTTTTAATAATGTAAGTGAAGTTTCCTTTTTATCGCACAACACACCAAATATTTTGACGAAGACTTCACCAATGGCTTCATTTAGAACACATCAAGAGTCTAAAAGCCATTTCATTAGTAGTACTAATATGTTACAGAATTTTAATATGACATTTCTTAAGCTGATCTAGTGCTTTAACTTCTTTCTTGCAAAGCCACATCACTTAAATTCTTTTTTCCTAACAGAAAAAGATGGATCTGCCAATCTCCAACCTCGATACCATGTGAATGTCATGATATAGTATAGTTACGAGCATTTCGAGAAAAATTTCTTCAAAAGTTCAACAGTATTAACTCTTGCCTAAAAGACCACTGAGTTCTAGACGAACAATTTCCTTCGACTTAGAGAATGAATGCACTGCACTTTAATATGAAAAAGTGTAGTTGATAACTTATTTAGTTGAAACACTCTTGAACTGACAAATTTATCTACGTTTACGGATGACAAACAAAGCAAAATACCTTCCTTTTGGTGTCTGCATATCAATTTCCTCTCAGCAGCAAAATGTAGAAATGAGAAACTAAATGAGCTTTGTACTAAAGTTCACCTGACCCACAACACATGAAATAGTTCAGAGGATTCCGTGGCTGAGAACGAAATTCTAATATATGTACAAATGCAAAAGACAAATAAAGATTCATGAAGTATATGTAAACTTTAATCAAATACTCAAAAGCGGAAATCAAACTAAACAAACAACACTGTCCCTTCAAAGAAACTCCAGATAAACTACCTCCACTCCACCAACCAAACCTTACAATGGAAAAATAAAGAAACAACAAAAAAGGAAAAGAAAAGTTGCAAACAAAATAATATCATTACTTAAGCCATGTATCCACTTTTTCCTTTTCCTTTATCTTTACTCATGCTCTTACATGCTTTAGTTTAACTGAGGGGCTGTCGAAAACAGTCTATCTCCATCTCTACGAGGTAGGGGCAAGGTTTGCGTACACTCTATCCTTCCATACCCCACTCGTGGATTTAGACTGAGTATGTGGTGCATAAGAAAATGACATTTGAAATCATATTGCAACAAATATCTCAAAAGTGGACAGGAAACATAGTAATCACCAAATGACTTTCTCAGACATAATAAGATGAAATGATTCCTAAACTTACCCATCTTTATTATTTTATATTACTTCAAAGAAACATATGAACTAAAGAACCTACTTCAATGGACATATCTTCAGCAACCAGCAGGTTGCCAAAACTTGAGAATAAAAATAAACCCCCAAAACAGAAACAAGAAGACAATAAGAAAAAAGAACATTTCTGTTTTAACTAAACAACATTTGCACAAGGATAAAAAGTAGATGTCTACTTGTTGTCGTACAGTCCGTGGTGGGACTGCTCCACCCTTAACCAAAGTTCTCAAGTTCAAGACCTAAGTATGGAGAAAATTATGTTGGGAGTGCCACCACACACTAGGTGGGAAACCAAAAATAAAAGGAGAAAAGACAATTCCAACCCTTGAAGATATTGCAAAGAGAAAACAGCAAAATAGGACCATTTAGCCCAATAGCAAAGCAGAAAGTCATGTTTCAAGAAGAAGAAAGTTAGTTAGGCTTTGGGTACTTGCTCCAATTTTTCATTAACTAAACTTCAATTATAATGGTAATCTCTCTTTATTTCCATATTTGGGAAAAATTATACAGATCTAAAGAAACTAAAGAACACATCATTTTCCTCTCTAAACAGGCAAGGGAAAAAAAACAGAAGAAGAAAAATTAAAGCACTTTCATCAGAACACAGTCAATAGACAAAGCCTTTGAAGCCAAAAAATCATCCCATATTGTAAAACCAAACAAATATCTCCTCAAAGACTGAAACTTTATCAACAAAGAAACCAACCCACATGAGAAAATCAAGTAATTAAGCAAATACAGATACACTAAACCCATGAAAACATGATAAAGATTCAAACTTTAACAAAAAGAACAACAATGACACATTAATAAATGAACAATCTGACATTACCAGAAAGATAAACTCAAGTTTTCTTGTGTAAACACAAACAGTAGGGTCCGGAGAGGTTAGAGTGTACGCGGAGCTTATCACTAACTCTGTCTAACAACCAACAGCTAATATTTCCCAAAAACTATCCCACATTGTAAAACGAAATCAATATTTCATCAAAGACATAAACTTTATCAAAAAAAGAAACAACCCCACATGAGAAATCAATGGTCTAAGCAAATACAACAACACTAACACCATGAAACATGAAAAAGATTCAAACTTTAAAGAAAGAACATCTGCAAGAACCTCAAAATCTCTTATAATTTACCAGAAAGATGTTAACTTAGACTAATGAAACTTCTTATGAAAACCAAAAACAAGTCATTCATACATTTTTCAATAAAGAAAAAAAAAGTAAAAACTCACTCAAGCTCCAAGAAAAGAAGTATACCCTTAAAAGAGGAGAAAAAAAGTGAGGTGAAGAGCTCAAGATTTTAGCTTACAATAACCCCTGAGAAGGAGAGGAGAGTAATAGTGTACACAGTTCCCCATGAAAAACACTACCACACACTATTTCTCTTTAATTTTTCTCACTCTCCTCTCACTCCCTCTATAGTTTTTTGTTTTTGGTCAAAATAAAGAAAATATAGTAATATTTCAATTTCAAAAAAGGTTGTCTTTTGTATGTTCAATAAGTTTTGAATTTTAATATTATACCATCTTTTCGTTTATTTTTACTTGTTATTTTTAGATATCGAGTATATTTCTTCATTTCAAATTTCTATTGGTGAATTTTTAATCGGTTTCAAAAAATTATATGACATATTTCTATGTCTAATAACAATTTAAACGTTTGTTTTTATCTTTAATGTAATTATTTATAGCCACACAATAATATGTTACTTATTTTAAACTATAAGTTTCGAAGGCTTTTCTTTTTCTCCAAAATTCTATATCAAGTCAAATTGCATTACATATATTAAGATGAAAACCAATAATTTTCAAGATCTAAGACGTAACATATAGATAGCTGGCATAATACATGACGCTTAACTTGGCTTCAACGAACAACTATGTCCTTCAACTTTGAATGTACACAAGTATACACTTAAATTTGTACAAGATTGAAAAAGTAGACACAAGTGTCCTAAATGACATAATACACGTAGAATGTCATGTAGGAGACAAAGTTATCATGTAGCAGTATCATGTATGACAAATGTGTTCATTTGCTCAATTTTATACAAGTTTAACTGTCTACTTGTACACATCTAAAGTTAAAGGTCATAATCGACAACTGATGTAAAAGTTAAGATTCATGTTTACGTATTATGCCAAGATGGTTAGTATGTTAATATATTCATACTAGTCATTGCTTTTAAGAAGCGTAAAAATTTAAAAGAAAAAATATACAAGTACCTCCTAGACTATGATCGAAATTTCAGAGACACACCTTGACTAAACTAGGATCTTTATTACCCTCGTAAACTCTTTTTTGCAATTTTATACACCTTTCGTCTTACGTGTACACTTCGTGACACTACGCAACTGAGGTGCATGTGAGATATTTGGATGCCAGGTAAATAAAAAAGGTACACAAAATTACAAAAAAAAAAGAAATAAATTTAAGGATAATAAGATCTTAATTTAGTTAGTGTGTGTCTCTGAAATTTTGATCATAGTCTAAGTCATGTATTTTTTTAAAAAAAAATAAAAAAGTAAAAGTAAACGGATCCAAAGACAAAATTAATTAATTAAATGTTTATACTCGATAAACACAGGCTTGGTCCCACTTTTCTCTCTGAAATTTCCAATATGTCATTTTACTAAAAATCCAAAACATATGGAGTTATTAGATTAGATTCCTTCTTGTTTTCTAGTCAATTTATTTGATTTTTTGACAGTGTAACTCTATTTTAAAATTTATATAACTTGTCTTTTTTTGTTTTTTTTTTCACTTTGATGGTCAAGAAAATTAAAATTGATCTATTTAAATTTGACAGTGAGAAGTATATGTATAATTGCACAATCATTGTAGAGAAAGTGAACTCTTCTTTTTTAAGTGAATATTGTTTGAATATTTGAAATATGATTCATTTTAATTGAATATATATATATATATATATATATATATATATATATATATATATATATATTGTATTTTTATTAGATATTTTAGATTTAAATTTTAAAATATTTTATGATAAAAATTTTACGTTTTTACGTGGAGTAGATTGAAAAAGCTACTAAGAAGAATATTGTTTTTTCTCTTGGGCCTGTAGGTTTCCTACGCACCACAAATTACTATGCTATAACACTTTGCTATGTTGAGGGTGTCTAAAATAAGTTGTCTAACCATTTTACGTATTATTTTACTTGTATATACGATATTATTTTTTATATGAAGGGTGTTCGCTTGGACACCCTGACTACAGAGGCGGAGTCAGTACTTTCAAAAAGTAGGTTCAAAATCTGTAGAAATAGACACATGAAATATCCGAAGGAGGTTCGACATCTATTATATATACATATATAAAATTATTTTAACCATATATAACTAATATATATTTTGATAAAATTTAATTAGCTTCGACCCAATCCAAAAAGTCCTATAATAGCAAATTAAGAAAACTAATTAGTAGTAAAATAATTGTCAAAACAACATTTTAGTGAAACATTTGCATGTGTTCAACGACAAACAGTGTTTGTAAAAGTGTCTTATCAACTCAACAAGTTGCCAACTAAATTATGCATAGCTTTTTAATCTTGATGGTCCAATATATTATATTAGATATAGTTATTGATTTTTTTTTTCAAAAGTTAACAAAAATAATTGCTTGTTGCTTTCAATCTAAGTAAAGTTTAAGGATTTGATAACAATTCTTTCTCTTCATTAAAACTTTTTTACTTAATAGGAACATGTTTTTCGAACGTATGATGATACTGACTTTATGATAATAAATTGTAAAAGAGCAAAAAGAAAATATATATATAACCTATCATAATGTTTAGAGGTGGACCCACATGGTGTTCGCCGGGTGTTCGAGCACCCATTAACTTCGTTACGGAATATATATATCTATGTAAAAATTGATAGGTATTTGTATAAAATTAACATAGAACACTCAATGAATAAATAATTTAGTTGGTCCAATGGCTCCTGAATGGGTACTTAAGTTTTTTATTCAGTGATACTTTAGATTGTAACATCCTACGTTATCACCATATTCCAAATCATAATGGCTAAATGATTAACATCTGTGTTATATGTAATAACGAGTAGCAAATAAAATAACGTTTCTAATGTAGATATAGTTTTCTAATTTGATTAATTCCTCACCTTTATCAATTAGGGCAAATTGATTAGGAACTTGAAATTGGGTACGAAAAAAAGATTCAACAAATCAACATTTTCTCCATCGAGTGATTGGGTGAGAAGCCATCCTACCTGATGAGACATGTTAAGGTTCATATAGTCCCGCCTTAGCTGGGGCAAAAATTTTTGTTATTCTTATACATTACTTTTCCCTGTCTCAATTTATATCATTTCATTAAAAGTAAAATGAATATATTAAAATTAAATTATTAATAAACATATAAATGTATAGTTCTTTTTAAGACCGATTAAAAAGAAAAGTAAATCATGAAAAATGAAATAAGAAAAGTAACAAATTTTTAAATATAGCTTAGAAACATATTCAACTTTGACATTTATGTTTAAATTTTTACATTGGATAAGTCTTTATAAAATTATATGTTAAGTATAATTTGATATGATATATTTTAGAAACTAATAACATTTTAGGCTCAATTTGGAAAAAAGTAAAATTTTCAACCTATAATTTGATATGATATGCTTAAGTTTTTACTTCTTAAAGTTAATATTCATGTTTTCTGTAGAAAATTTTTTTTGGTGTCTGAGAAAAACTAAAAAAATATGTCTACTATTTTTAATTTTAGAAAATTTAAATTCAATAAATATGTAATTTGATAAGTAGCCATTATTACGAAGTTTTAAATTTTACAAATAAAATTTCATAAAATAACAAACAAGGACTATTTTTATAATTTTTATTTATTGGGAGAGAGGCGAATGAGATTTATCTATGTGTCTTTGAATCTAGATACATGTATTTGACATATGTATATGAGATCTCTGATATGCGAGATAGATAGGAGAGTAGCGAGCGAGAGGGGAATGAAGGAGGTAAGTGAGATGTGTGTAATGTATCACAAATACATGTAAATTCACTTGGATTCATTGTATCTAAAATAAATTACACTTAATTTTGACTCCATGAATTCGAAATACAGGTATCTGTATGCGGCAAATTCATATATTCGAAGTTTAAAATCGAATAAAATTTATAATATTGCAAACTAGTATGTGTCTAAACAATTAGTTCATAAACTAGTAAAAGTTTTTGTATATATTGAAATCGATTAGTTTAAAATTGAGTTAGATCGCTTCATATAAAATGTCAAAACTCAAAATAAAATTTAGATATGATAAACTATTATAATTTTTTAAAAAAAAATTAGAGAATGAATAAAAATAGCAAATGTATATTATAGAAAATTAGTGAATTATTTGATTTACCTGAAAAAAATTTGAGGTAAATAAATAATAAGGCACCCATTCATCTTTCGCATAGAATAGAAAAATCACTTAAATTAACATTTCAAATGATTTTAATAATTGAAAATTATATTACCTACAAATTGTATTATCATTCGAAATTGTTACATGTTTTTTTTTTTTTGAAAAATAACTACCAACATAATATATTTTTTTCAAAAATTTTAGCTCACCTTTAAATATTTATAATTGAATTGAAATCGGAATAAATATAAAAAAATTTGACTAATTTAAGTCAAATTTCAATTTTGACTATAATAAAAACAATAAGATGGACGAAGATTAATTTCGAATTCTAACAAAAAGAATATTTAATGAAAAAAGACAGGTTTTGAAAATTAATAGAAGAGCTAAAAGAGAAAAATTAAGGTATGAAAGTTTAAATTTTTATATATTAAAATTGCATAAATTATTTTATTTTTGAAAAAAAAATTGAGGACTATTTGAAAATTTTGAATAAACATGTAATGATACAATTTATTTTTTATTGTTCTTCTCAAAAGGAAAGAGAATATTGTTTTACAAACTCAATACTAAATATAGTTGTTTATATTTAGATTTTTAAAAAATAGTTATTTCAAATTATTGGATATTTTAGACATTCAAAATAAAATTAATTAATTTTTCTCACTTTTAACCATTCTAGTAAATGTTTTCTAAGACCACAAACATCTTAATTATGGGGTGATGTTATGATTGTTTAAAGAGAAAATTTAAATATCAATGATGAAAAAAATAGTTAGAAATTCTACATAATTAATATTTTCTAAGGATTATATAAAAGAAAATTATGATATATAATATGAGACGGACTATCTATATCATAATAGATCGTGTATTATTGCATCGAAATCGAATTAACCAAAAATGCATGACAAATAATTGAAAATTTAATGAATGAGATGTTCGAATTAATTTTTTTTACACTTTGATTAGATAATTTAGGGGTAGTCATTATATTTAATTTTAAAAATGGTACATTGAA